AACCAAAAAGTATTTAGATCTATAAAATTAAACAAATATAACAAAAAAGTACTTACATTTACAAAAAAATAATTACCATTTTAACTAGTTGTACAAGTCATAAAAATGTATCCAACATGTTCTATAAAAGTTCAAGAAGTTATTTAACATGTTTTGGATTGTTCAAGGACTTATTTGTTCCAAAAATTGTTCAATGACTTATTTAACATTTTTTGGAATGTCTAAGGACTTATTTAACATTTTTTGGAATGTCTAAGGACTTATTTAACATATTTTAGAATGTCCAAGGACTTACTTGTGCCAAAAAATTGTCCAATGACTTATTTAACATGTTTTGGAAAGTTCAAGGACTTATTTGTTCCAAAAAAAAGTTCAAGGACTTAATCATTTCAAACAAGAAAGTTCATTGGTTTTTATTGTACTTTTCCCTTTTAATTTTAGAGAAATACATGAAACAATTTCATTAAAATTTCATTAAATATTATATAAAACAATTTCATAACCATATATGAAACACATTCATCAAAAAAAGTATTATATAAAACAATTTGTAACACCCCAAAAAAAATACAACGAAGGTGGGGATACTCTTATCTAGAGAAACAAACAACCAAAAGTTTTCAAAAGTTAAATAAGTACATCACCCAACAAAGGGAAGTAGTTAAGCATTTACAAATCAAAGAAGAGGACGATAAATAACAACCTAATAATCTAAGCAACTCTATGTCTAGATTATGATCGGGTGTTTCTACCATCTCCAATAACAAAAAAACGAAACTCAACCAATATGCAACGCTCGCTTCACCAAGTGCTTTGACTACAAAAATGACTTTTACGAGCTACTCACTTCTCAACCCTTCGACACCTCGCCGCTAAAGGAACCTGGTAAGCAAACCATTTTAAGAAAGTGTTAGGCTTACGCCTAGTGAGTTCAAACAATAGGATAAGTGTAACTATAAAACCTTTTATGCGAGAAAGAATGTATATGTACATATATGTTTATATATATATAAATAACGATGTCGTAACTTTAAGCGGTAAAAAAGAAAAGTAAGGCTTAAGAAATACATGGGAGAGCCAAAACATCCGAAGATGACGGGGGAGACCCGATTTACCGTTGATTGTGACGGAACACAAAGTAAGTCATAGATAAACGTTACAGAGCATCACTTACAGGTTTAATACTATTGACATCAACCTAACCAGTCATGTAATTGGTCGTGATTGAAGGATTTCCTTATTCAATTGATTCCTACTTAACCCGTGATCCAACATGCCATGCAAGTAACGAATAACCCGTTTCATAAAAGCATATGGGGTTCCCGTGGAGCGTGCATAAACAGGCAGATTTGTTGAACAACATATGACAGATCCGAACGAGTAATGGTGAGATACTGCAACGCCCCCGCCAGACGTCTGTATAATGTACCGTCTGGTAGGAGTGCCCTGTCAGAAGCACTGAGCTTGGAATTGGTATCGACAAGTGTGTGACACGGTTTACACGTGGTCATATTAGCCCGATGGAGGATATCTCTAGCATACTGAGTTTGTCCAAGGAAGACAGAATTGGCATTCCTAGTGACTTGGATGTCGAGAAAGTGGTGAAGAGGGCCCATATCAGTCATAGCAAATTCCTGTGAGAGCCGTTTGATGACCTGTGTTAATACCTGCGGATGGCTAGCCGTGAGAACAATATCATCCACATATAAAAGTAAGTAGGCAACTTGATCGCCGTGATGATAGAGAAACAGGGATGTGTCACATAGGCTTCTTCGAAACCCGAGAGAGGTGATGAACCCTGAGAACCTGGAGTACCACGCAAGTGGCGCTTGTTTAAGGCCATACAGAGACTTTTGCAGTCTACAAACATGATTAGGGAACCTGGGGTCGATAAAACCCGGTGGCTGTTGCATGTAGACGGTCTCCTGAAGGGTTCCATGGAGGAAGGCATTCTTGACATCGAGCTAATGAATTGGCCATGATTTGGAGACCGCTAAAGATAACACTGTGCGAATGGTACCTGGTTTGATCACAGGGCTAAATGTTTCCATGCAGTCAATGTCGACGATTTGTGACTTGCCGTTACACACTATTCTTGCTTTGTACCTATCTAGTGAGCCATCGACTTTAAATTTGTGCCGAAATAACCAAAGTGACCGAATGACTGGCCTATCCGTGGGACGTGGAACGAGCTCCCATGTGTTATTGACTTGTAACGCACTAAATTCATCGTTCATGGCGTGAAGCCAATTAGGGTCTGATAAAGATTTTACATAGGAAGTAGAAAGGGGAGATATGTTGGTTGAGGCAGCAAAGAGGTAGCGTGGGTTCGGTTTGACCACACCATATTTGCCACGAGTTTGCATGGGGTGAGTATTTGTCGTGTGTAGGGGAGGGTTTGGTTGGGGTGATGTTGGGGTTGATTGCRGAGTAGGTGTGGTGGTAGAATTTTKGGCYGAGGGAGTGTGAGGAGGTGTGCTGGTAGGTAACGGGTTTTGGGCCGTGGGGGAGTTGGTATGTAACTGGTGTTGAGTTTGGTCCGGTTGTGGGTGTTAATGTTCGGCTGGTGTAGGAGTAGGAAAGGACACATTATCAAAACTTGGACTTTCCTCATCAAGAAAAGTGTATGTGGTGGAGGATAGATGTGTGTTGTAAAAGCCATTACCAGAACCATGAATAAGCAACAAGTCACCATTACCGACAAATATAGGGTTGACGGGTAATGAACTTTGAACTTTAATTTTACCTGAATCGAAAGTGATGTGAAAAGATGCTCCCGTGTCCATAAACCATTGTGCCTGATCGTTGGACTTGAGGTTCAAAGTGGTCATGGCGGCTCCGATGTCATTAGGAGAGAGAGCATTGAAACCCGTTGGAGTTTGTTGGTTAAAACCGAAACCCGGTGGAGCGAATAAAGCGGGCTGCTGCATCTGCATGATGTGGGCCTGCGACGGGTTAAGTTGGGCCGGCATAGACGGGAGTGGACTCGACGGTGGTGTCCAGGATGGATATTGAGCTTGTGGCCCATGTTGAAGTTGGTCAAACCGAGGCCCACCTGTATGCCCTGCTGGACCGAAAGTTCATCTTGAATTGTATGGGGTGTTGTTTGACTGTGTCCCCCAATGTGATCGACCTGCTCCTCGGCCTGAGAATTGGCCACCGCGCCCCCTGCCACGCTCTGCCTTTGCCGGATCGTAGTTGTTCCCCCGATACCCGTTAGGGTATGGGGATCGCCCGGTGTCGGTGTGATCCTGGGGGTTGTTGCTTCTACTTTGCTGTTGACCGGCGGAAGAGGATGGGTGAACTAGCACAATATCACGGCTTGAGTTTGATCTAGCCGCCTGTCGTTGTTGCTCTGCTTCTACCATACCACGGGCCTCATCCCACGTGGGACATTGCTGATTGATGATAGCCCCGATAGTATCGTATTCAACAGGAAGACCACGAACCATCTGAATAACGAGTCGACTTTCAGATACAGGTTGATCGATATCGCCGAGTTGTGTGGCGATATCTTTCAACTTTTGACAATATTCATCGAACGAGGAGGATGCTGAGAGGGTTGAGTTGGTGGAGTGTTGTTCCAGGGTTGCGGCTCTGGTATGTTTATTATTAATAAAAATTTCTTGAATCTGACGCCATGCCTTCCAAGAAGTGGTATCATCATCGAGAATCCGGTTAAGGATCTCATCAGAAACGGTACTATAAATCCACTGAAGAATGAGGGCATCAAGTTCCGCCCATGCGTCGTAGGCCGGATCTTCTTTGGATGGCGGCGGCGTGCCATCAATATGGTGAAGGATCTTGTAGATTTTGAGATGATTTTTGAACAATTTCACCCAATTTGAGTAGGGTRYTTTCTTCCCRTCGAGTGTACGGATCTTTTGGTGCACATTCATCACCATGAATGCTGGATGAAGGGTTGGTTTTTCAGTATTGGTATTGGGAGTGGAAGATTGATTCGTCGTTTCCACCATAGTGCCGCCGTGAATCGGATGAAATAGGTGGTAGGGTTACGGTGATGGTTAGTGTGATAACCAGACTCTGGTTATTACCTAAGGTAAATTTATACGTGAATATTTGACTAAATAATTTTCATGGTAGCATGATAATTTGTTACGTGTCGGTATGTGAAATGATATTTAGATATATATATATATATATATATGTTTATGTATATATATATATATATATATATATATATATATATTAATGTGAAATGCATGAATGTGCAAGGTGTATGTGTGTATGCATGTATATGTGCATGCATGATGTGGCAAAAGAAGGGGAGAAGGCGGTTGGCCGACTTTCCCCATTTGGTAGGTATAAAAGGGGGGGGGGGGGTTACCCCCTTTATTTGGCTTCTTCTTGCCACTTTGAGAGTATTTGAGAGGGAGTTAGAAAGAGTTGTCCGGATTGCATATTAGAGGAAGAATTCAAGTGATTTCAAGCTATTTTCAAGAATTCAGCTTCAAGAAGGATTGATTCTAGTGTTTTGTGTTCAAAAGCTTTAAAAGGTGAGTGGTTCTAAATCTTTTTACATAAAAAGAGMTTTTACTGGTTATGAATCTTTATTTCGTACTATTAGTTTCCTTYGAAAAKAATCTTGCTAAATATTTGTCTAAGTGTTTATCCGGACAAAGCTTGACCGGATAAGGGGTTTAAACCGGATAAGCCTTGTGAGGTTTAGTATCCGGATAAGTGTAAATCGCACAAGTCTTAAGCGGATTAGTGATCGGATTAGTATATACCCAACAAGCCTTGAGCGGTTTGTTGTCCGGAGTTGGTAAACCGGTTGAGTAGTGAGCGTTTAATTATAATGAATTTACTTGTGTTTTCAAACTGAGAAGTAGGAATACGATCACTTGGTGACCGGTTTATTGTWAAACCGGACAAGGTATGAGCGGACTAGTGTCCGGATTTGTTAACCGGACAATCTTGAGATTGTTTTAAGTGATTAATCGGTTTAACAAGTATGTGGTATGTTGGACCGGATTAGATATCTGGATAAAGATTGAATGTTATTGTTGACCGGATTTGATATCCGGACAAAGTGGAAAGTGTTATCCGGATGAATGTTGACCGGATTTGTTGATATAATTTGAAATGATATTTTGGGGCTTGATGAAATTTACATTTTATTATAAAATGAAGTTTTATAAATGTTTTTGATCTGAAAATGTTTCCAATGACTGCGGTCTATTTGGAATTATATTTTTATATAAATGGTTTCTACCAAGCGTGGTGACRTAAGTCTGTTTTGGTATGGAAGTGAGTTTTTAGTTCCCCTAGACGTGGTGACTTTTGTCTGTTCTGGCTTGGAACTAGGAATGAGTACTTTCAGACGTGGTGACTTTGTCTGTTCTGATAAGTGACTCTGTTTTAAATGGAGGATTAAGGGTGGCATATCAAGGAGAGGTGTCCATTGGATATAAGGGTGGCATTGTCTGTGTGTGGTTTTATATAACTCTTTTTATTATATCATTTGAGACTACCGAGATCTGAAAATCTTTATTTCTTTGTGATTTAAGGATTTAGGATCGAGGTTCTTAATGGAAATCATAGATTGGATGTTATTGTGGAGAAAAGATTTATTTTGGCCTGAAACTTTGTTAAGCCTTGTTTTTGAGAAAAAAGTTTAAAAAGTGGCAATATATGGAACCTGATTGGTTTTAAAAGGTATGAGATTTGAATAAGCTAAGTGATAGCTTGAATTTGAGAAATGATTTAGWATTTCRGATTCATATATTTGTTATTTATATGAATACTTGATTTTGTAAAGATTTTGGTGATCCTTCACCCTGCAATGACATAAATAGGGTATCTCACTAGACTTTATAGTCTAACCTCGTTTTGTGTTTTAAAATGTGTATTGCAGGAAGTGTGGAAGGTAAAGGAAAGGAAAAGATTTAGTRMTTTTCTTTCGTGCATTTTGGTTGAAGATTTGCTTTTGATGCATAGCTCTGATGATTAGTACAAGATTGTATTTTGAATTTTTGGACCTGGTGTTTGGTCACRGCAGATTTCTTGTACTAGTGGACCCAATGTGTATATGAATATGTATTTCTTTGGTATGGAATATGTATTACATGCAATGTGTGGCTTGGGGCGTTACAGTTAGAAAAAATAGGAATGTTCTTTGGCTCTGATACCATGAAGGATTTCCTTATTCAATTGATTCCTAATGCATTACATTAGGATCCTATAAATAAGAATTCCTATCCGCTAAACAAGGAAAAGATAACAACTAAATTGAAAATAAACTTTATCCTAAAATAGCTAGAGCATATCTTCTAATAGTGATCTTAAGCTCTTTTCCTCGGAAATTACATAATGATCTCAATGCCTATTTTCGAACGGAATTGAGGAGATGGATTTGGAAGTTACATAATGACCACAATGCCTAAATCCAAATCACATCAACCTCTTCGCAAAGTAAATAAATCGACTTCCAAGCCCATATCGCATTACACTCCGAAGAAATGTTTTCCGGCAACAACTTATTTATAAGAAAAGAAAGCGTAAGTGTCAATAAGATTCTTAAATAATTTCTAAGGTACGAAGTACTTCCTTACAACTAAAGGGGTAACTCCATGTAATAATTTATAAGGACCTCTAAGTTTTTAGGCAGATAAAACTTGTATTGTATAATTCTTCTAGTGAATTTAAGCCATTATCAACCCATGCTAATGTTGACAACGGGACTCCTAAGTTCATTCACTTAGGCACTAGAGTAAAAGGCACACAAGACACAACATCTATCTAAGTATAAAGACTCAAAGGTGTGGAGTGAACTCACAATGTAGGATTTAGGAGAAGTACAATTCTTGAACTAGCATATGGCTGAAAATAGGACTAAATAGTAGGGTTGATCCTACTCCAAGAGGCAACAGCTTGGAATGCTTGAAGGGAAAGCAGACGGCTCAGACGCACGGGATCAGCCGTGTGGGAGGCATGGGACAGCAGCCACGTGCAGGAGGCACAGCACAGCAGCTGCGTGCAGACGCACGGGAACAGCCGCGTGCAGGAGGCACGGCACAGCAGCTGCGTGCAGACACACGGAGACAGCAGCTGTGTGCAGAAACAGCCGCGTGCAGACGCACGGAGACAACAGCGGTGTACGAAACAGCAGCGTGCAGAATGCATGGTAACAGCAGCGCAGGACACGGGGGCAGCAGCGTCAGGAGGCACGGCACAGCAGCTGCGTGCAGACGCACGGGAACAGCCGCTGTGTGCAGAACGTGGCCGGAGCTAGGGGTTGACGGCGGTAGCTGTAGAAGTTTCTAAGAAAAGGGGGGGGGGGGGGGGGTTAGACTAAATGGAGATGAGACCACCCTTTCCTCCCTTCATTCTCAAACGGCAGCCACACCAGAAGCTTTTCTTCGTCTCCCCCAAACTCAAAACTCAGCCTCCAAAAGACTCCCTTTCCCCCAATTACCACTATTCGTTCATCTTTTCCAAGGCAAGGACAGTAGGCAAGGACTCAAAAACAAAAGGGTAATCCTTCCAAAAGAGAAAGACCACATGCTTGGGTTAAAGTCCAGGAGGTTAACCCCCCCCCCCCCCCCCCCCCCTACTTCTTTAACCCCATAATACCCAGACATTACAATTTAGCAAAAATAATAGGAAGTATAAAAAGATTAAGTAAAATAAAACATTACTAAGATCCTAATATATAATACACACATATATACCTATATATATATATATATATATAATAAAAAACGCATACTTGCAAATGAGACAGAAGAAATCCCGACGTGAAAGCGATGGAGATTGAAGAAGGAAGAGAAATTTCAAGGTGTTACACAATTTCACAAGATTAAACAATTTCATGAAAAAAATTCTTAAGATGAAATAATGAAATCGACGTATGAGGGTGGTTTGTACGGTTTGTACAAATGAGGGTGGTTTTTATTTGATCGCTCCTATATATATATATATATATGTGTGTGTGTGTGTGTGTGTATATATATATATATATATAGACTTGGGATCATGTGAGACCAGCCTGTTTTCGTGAGACTCGTGAGACCAACATTTTACACTTGAAATTTCACAACAAAATGCTGTGAAGGTGACTTTTTAAAACCTTCACAGTGTTTTTGCTGTG